AGCTTGCGAGGGTAGAGACTCCACCAGGATGCGAACAGACGGAAAGAAAGACAATGGAGAGTGATCTCTGCTCAGACCTAGAGTACGTGATAAGAAGCCAGACCCTGGGAGACAGGTGTGCCAGAATAGTTAGCAAGTCTGGGAGGTGGGTCATGGTTTCTAGATGCTCTTGGCTTCCACTTGTGGTTGTAGGAGGTTTGTGGGAGGAGGGGGAGGAAGGGTGAAATCTCATCTGTGTTTTGATTTCATGAGCTAAAACTAAGTGACATGTTCTTTTATTTATTTAAAAAAATTTTTAAACATATCTTTATTGATTTCAGAGAGAAGAAAGGAGGGAGAGAGATAGAAACATCAATGATGAGTGAGTCGTTGATTGGCTGCCTAGCCCGCAACCGGGGCATGTGCCCTGACCCGGAATCCAACCCCGACCTCCTGGATGCTAGGTCGAGGCTCAACCGCTGAGCCATGCTCAGCCTGGCGACATGTTCTTTTAGATACAAAGAATGCTTGGAAGTGATTGTGCAATGCTTGTAGCAGTAGGGAGGGAAGGGCCAGGCATGCCTCTGAGCAGGGCATTGGTTGGGACTCCCATGTGTTCACATATTAATACCTGTATGTTCCCCTCTTACAGAAAGGTCAAGAGGTTACCATTGTGGGCACAGTGGTAACTACTGTGGAGGGGCAAGGGGTACAGAGCTCATCAAGGTGCATGGCACAAGAGGCGAAATGAAGACAACCCCCCACCTTACGGTGTTGGGGAAGGCACCCCTTGGTGGGATTGGCCTCCGCCACAGTGCCAAGCGGGACCGGAAGTCCATCACTCTCCACATGAAGTTGGAGGTGCTTCGGAGGTTTGAAGAGGGTGAGAAACTGATGCAGATTGCCCGGGCTTTGGGGCGGGCCACCTCCACAGTTGCCTCGATCCATGTCAACAAGGACAAAATCTGGGCCAATTCTCAGGCATCTACACCTGTCAGTGCCAAGCAGCTGACCCGCTGCCGGGGTGTGGTGATGGGTCATATGGAACGCCTCCTGAGCCTGTGGATTGAGGAGCAGAAACATCGGAACTTGCCTGTCAGCACGCTGCTCATCCAGGACAAGGCACGGCAGCTCTTTGCACAGGTGCAGCATGAGCAGGGTGATGGCACCCAGGTTGAGACCTTTGGTGCCAGCAATGGCTGGTTTGCCCGTTTCAAGGCACGCCACAATGTGCTGCTGACAGATGAACCAGCTGTGGCTGATGTCCAGGCCGCTGCCTGCTACTCCTCAGTGCTGCGCACCATTCTGGAGGAGGGCTGCTACTCACCATGCCAAGTCTTCAATGTGGACGAGACGGGCCTTTTCTGGAAGCGGCTGCCCAAGCGCATGCTGCTGGCACTGGAGGGGGCATCTGGGCCCAAGGCCCCTAAGGACCACCTGACCCTGCTGCTGGGTGGCAACGCAGCTGGTGATTTCAAGCTAAAACCCCTGCTTGTGTATCCCTCAGAGAACCCGTGTGCCCTCGAGGGCTGCTCCAAGGCCAGCCTGCCTATGGTCTGGCGCTCCAACCGCAATGACTGGCTGACGCCCAGCATTTTCCAGGAGTGGTTTACTGGCTGCTTCTGCCCTGCTGTGGAGAGCTACTGCACCAGCCATGGCCTCCCGCACCGTGCCCTGCTGCTCCTAGACGGTGCACCCTGCCACCCTGCCCAGCTGGGTAGTCTCTCAGCCCACGTGTGCGTTGAGTTCCTGCCCAAGAACACGTCAGCCCTGATCCAGCCCATGAACCAGGGCATCATTGCCACCTTCAAGGCCCATTACCTGCGCCGAACACTTAGCCAGCTGGTCCAGGAGAAGGCTGGCAGAGACCAGCCTTCCATGCGGGAGTTCTGGCACAGCTATACTGTCATGACCGCAGCAGACAACATTGCCCAGGCCTGGGCAGAGCTGCAGCCCACCATCAGGAACAGTGCTTGGAGGAAGCTCTGGCCTGAGTGCGTGTCCACCAGCACTTCGGAGCCTGACACTGTGCCTCAGCTCCACTGCAGCATTGTGGCACTGGCCAGCCACGTGGGCCTTGGGGACGTAGCAGAAGCCAGTGTTGCCCGCCTGTTGCAGGCCCATGTGGAACCCACACCCTGTGGAATCCCCCAGGATGCTGAGGATAGAGATGTCAGTGGCTCTGGGATGCCCTGGGAGGCAGGGAAAGGCCTGGCCTACAAAATACTAGAACCAGGTCTCACTGAGGCTGTGGTGGGTACAGGGACTGAGGAAGCCGGTGTGGATGCACTGAGTTCTGAGCACCTGGCCCAGGCCCTGTCCCACTTCACCACTGGCCTGCGGATCCTCATAGAGAATGATCCCAACCAGGAGCGCAGCTTGAGGGTGTCCTGGGGTGTCCACTGTGCCCTTGCCCGCCTCCGAGAACTGCACCGGGAAAGGAGGCAACAGGCTCGGTTGGCTGCATCCTCAGGGGGCCCTATGATGGTGGCCACGAGGAAATTGGCAGGAGGCCTGTGCTCACCTCAGGTGGGGCCTACAGAGGGTGAGCGAGTGGCTAAGGTCACAGGCCCTGAAGGACAGACCTCTGCAGCCATCCTGCGTGATTTAGGGCTTGGGCCTGACCTCAGATGACCCATCTGATGATTTTTTGTTTCTGGAGGACATTCTTCACCATGGTTCTCATATCTTATGCTCTGTGGTTTCTTTCTTTCTTTTTTTCTTTTTTCACAGTGACATTTAGCCCACCAGGCTTGGGGAGAAGGAGAGTGGTGTTCTTCTACTGGCAGATGAGCTGCAGGGTCCAGGAGTGTCCGCCCATGACAGACACACCCTGCAGCACCTTAGTGGCCCAGCACAACCCACCAGGGCCATCCTCCTTGTGGTGAGGGGCCAGGGCTGAGACCAGCCTCTCCCATTCGCCAACCCTAACCACTCCGTGTACCGTTCTAGTGACCTGTCCTATGCAACTTTATCATTTATTTATTTATTTTATTTATTTTATTTTTTTAACTTCTTGTTTTTAATCCTCACCTGAAGATACGTTTTTATTGACTTTTTAGAGGGAAAGGGGGAGAGAGGGAAACATTGATGTAAGAGAGAAACGTGCCCTGACCGGGAATCAAACCCACAACCTTTTGGTGAACAGGACGATGCCCCGACCAGCAGCCATCTGCCCAGGGCAGTCACTGTGGCTTTTGATATCAGGGTCCAGTTCCTTAATTTGGAGGTGTTTTCTTTCCTGGGTTTCTGTGGATCTCTCCAGCCTCTTAAGGCTGGACCTTTTTGACTGATGGTCTCCTGGGTCTAGCTCTCTTTGGGAAATCTGATCCACTCTTAAGGGCTCAGTGGGCACCTCAGAATCAGCTCAGTACACTGCCTGCAGGCCAGCCTCTCCCTGAGATTAGACCCACAGCTCTGATTGTGATGGACAAGTTCCCTGTATAGGTTCCT